AAAAAAGTTATTTGTAAAATATTAGAATTGATTCACTGTTCATTTTCTCTTAAAAATAAAAAATAAAAAACACAGCAGCCCCATATTTCCTCTCCCACGGCAGACTTGGTTTTTGCTTGAAATCAATTTCTCTTTCTTTTCTTCTTTAATCTTAAAGCTAAAAAGGATCTAGCAAATCCCTCTTTAGTTTTTTGTGATTGTCTTCGTGTGGACTACATCGGTTTGATCCTACACTTGGGTCGGTAGCAAAAACGTTCAAAGATGAATTTGGAGGAGCCTCCAAACATGCGTATGTTTTCTAAACTCATGGTTAATTTTTCTGCAGATTTCTACTTTAATATAAACTGTAAAATTATACCTTTGATCTTGGCTCTATAGGAATGATCCTTGTATTATGTTTTTGTTTTCCGCTGCGTACATGGACGTTTCCTAACAGCAATCTTGTTGAGTTGCTTGATGGTGCAATAGTCATTGGATGTAAATAGGTCTTTAAGACAAAGAAAGACTCATTAGGCAACATCAAGAGATACAAGGCGAGAATTGTTGCTAAGGGATTCACTCAAAAGGAATGATACAACTATACAGAGACTTTTTCTCCTGTATCTAACAAAGACCCATTTTGACCTTGAGTTGCAACAAATGGATGTGAAAATGGTGCTTCTTAATGGAGACCTAGAGGAGGAGGTTTATATGAAACAACCTAAAGGATTTCCCTCTAGTGATGGTGAGCACTTGGTCAGTAAGCTCAAGAAATCCATATACGGTCTAAAACAAGCGTCCCGCCAATGGTATTTTAAATTCCATGAGGTAATTACTTCATTCGGTTTCGTTGAAAACCCCATGGATGAATGTATATACCAAAAGGTTAGTGGGAGTAAGATATGTTTCCTTGTTTTATATGTGGATGATATTTTGCTTGCAACCAATGATAAGGGTTTGCTACATGAGGTGAAACAATTCCTCTCTAAAAAATTTGATATGAAGGATATGGGTGAGGCATCTAATGTCATTGGCATCAAGATCCATAGAGACAGATTACGAGGAATCTTGGGTCTGTCTCAAGAAACCTATATCAATAAGGTTTTAGAGAGATTTCGGATGAAAGATTATTCACCAAGTGTGACTCCCGTTGTGAAGGGTGATAAGTTCAATTTGAACAAATGCTCGAAGAACGATTTTGAAAGGGAACAAATGAAGAACATTCCATATGCTTATGTTGTCAGAAGCCTGATGTATGCTCAAGTCTGTACAAGGCCTGACATTGCATTTGTTGTTGGAATATTAGGACGATATTAAAGTAATCTAGGTATACACCATTGGAAAGCTGCAACGAAAGTGATGAGGTACCTTCAAGGAACCAAAAACTACATGCTTATGTATAGACAGACAGACAATCTGGAAGTAATCAGTTATTCAGATTCAGACTTTTCTGGCTGTGTTGATTCATGCAAATCAACATCAAGATATGTTTTCATAATGGCTGGTGGAACTGTATCTTGGAGAAGTGTCAAGCAGTCCTTGACTGCTACTTCCACTATGGAAGTTGAGTTCGTTTCCTATTTTGAGGCTACTTCACATAGTGTATGGTTAAAGAGTTTCATATCTGGGCTTAAAGTTATGGATTCCATTTCTAAACCATTGAGAATATACTGCAATAATTCAGTTGCTGTCTTTATGGCTAAGAACAACAAAAGTCGAAGTCGAAGTAAACACATTAAGTACTTAGCCATAAAAGAACGTATTAAGGAAAAGAAAGTCATCATTGAGCACATAAGTACTGAATTGATGATCGTTAATCCTTTGACTAAAGGCATGCCACCATTGAAATTTAAGGATCATGTAGAAAAAATGGGACTTGGTTCTACTATGTAGTTGTATATACAATGTTTGAATGAAACTCTCATTTATTGTGATATTTTCTCATATTCATGTGCACCTTAATTTCAATTGAGAAAATTCATTAGTAGGACCAAGAATAAATATAGGGTTTATTTATTAAGTAAGGTTGCCATATATAAAGTAAACTTGAGAAATCAAATACATTGTAGTACATGGAAGATAATACTCGTTTTTTGAGAACCTGTCGCCATGATTTGTGTATTTGTTTCTTACTGAAATAATGGTTTAAACATGTGGACCAAGTGGGAGAATGTAAAACTTACGTTCACCAATGTTACTTATGTAGTGTTAATGGTCCACATTTGTTGCTTCAGTTTTTCAAACGTTCCATGTTATGCTTCAGTTTCATCCGTTTTGCAACCATTATAATCGGAGTTATGACAGCCATTAAGATTGGCCATTAAAGCTTGATGGGAGCTTGGCTATAAATTGAGATTTTGGTCCCTAGGCTCACTCACTCAACTAAAAGCCAAAATACACCATCATATTGAGTGTTCTGGGAGATTAGAAAAACATCAAGGCAGAGGTATTGTACGCTCTGATACCAAATTTTAGATAATCTTTGATCCTATATATGGAATTGACAAACTGAAGGGATCAAAATAAATAAAGGAGAAACAAGAAACTAACCTCCAGCCATTGATGCTCTCAATCACTCACTCACTGTTCTCTCTTGCGTTTTGGCCCTTCTAAGCTCTTATAACACTCAATATGATGGTGCATTTTGTTTTTTAGTTGAGTGAGTGAGCCTAGGGACCAAAATCTCAATTTATAGTCAAGCTCCCATCAAGCTTTAATGGCCAATCTTAATGGTTGCCATAACTCTGATTATAATGGTTGCAAAATGGATGACACTGAAGCATAATGTGGAACGTTTGAAAAACTGAAGCAACAAATGTGGACCATTAACGTTACATAAGTAATGTTGGTGAATGTAAGTTTTACCGTTCTACCATAATATTCTCCACCTCTATTTGATCTTACAATTTTGATCATTTTTCCCTTTGTTTCTCTGCTTTTATCTTGTTTTTTTATAAAAGCATTTAATTCTTCGTCTTTATGATGTAGAAGGTAGAGATACAGAAATCTTGAATGGTTATCTCTGACCATTTAGACAATGTGTGAACAGTCCACAAATATCAGTATGTATGATTTCTAAGTTCTCATTCATTCTTCTAGCACCTCTTTTATTCTGTTTGGTCATTTTTCCCTTTATACAGTTGATACAAGAATTAAAATCCGTGTAATATAGAGTCTCCAGTGCCCCATCATTTTCCAACCATTTAATTATTTCAACTGATATATGGCCCAAACGTCAGTGCCATAAATTTCCAAATTTCTCATTCAAATATAATCTTTTAGTGCCAGTATGATTAACAGAAAGTAAATTACTTTCAAATGTTGGATCTAAATTTAAGACAAACAAATCATTTAATAAAGAACCACGACCTACAATTAGATCATTTTTGCAAATATGAAAATTAGAGTAACTAAAAATAACTTCATAACCCTCATAAGTTAATTTAGATACATATATAAATTTAAAACAAACAAATCACTTAATAAAGAACCACAACCTACAATTAGGTCATTTTTTGCAAATACGAAAATTATAGTAACTAAAAATAACTTCATAACCCTCATAAGTTAATTTAGATACATAAATTAAGTTCTTTACAAAAGTAGGAACATAAAAAGTGTTCTTTAAATCCAACACATGTCCAGAATCCAACAATAATTTATAAACTCCTATGGCTTCAACTTGAGAAATTGTTTTATTTCCAGGATAAATGTATTTCTCATTTTGCCTAGGAGTTATTGTCTGTAGGAAACCCTGCAAAATGGTGGCAACGTGAATCATAAAACCATAGTCAATCCACCAGTTACCAAAATGAGTATCAAATAAATTAGATTCATAACGTACCATAGACAAAAGATTAATTGTATCTTTCTTGTCAATTCCTTTCTTCACCAGCCGTTGTTTATATTTTAGGCAATCCTTCTTCATATGTCTTTTCTTCTTACAAAAAAAAAAACATTTGGGAGGAACTTTAGTGTCAGATGACTTCATTGGCATCTTCCCTTTATAATTTTTAAAAGACTTGCCCTTAGAGTTGTTGGTTGTGAGGTGCAAACTTTCTAGGCCCTCACTTTTTAGTGTTTCCTTCTCTTGAACACACATGACCAATAATTCATTTGCTGACCATTTAGCCTTGTGTGTTGTAAGTTACCTTGAAGGTATTATACTCAGAGAGAGAGTTAATAAAGAAAGTCACAAGAAAGGATTCAGATATGTCAATTTCTAATTTCTTTGATTGTGTTGCTGAATCCCTCATACGCATGATATGATCATGCACTCCTTTTAATCTATGATGTTTCATGGAACTCAACTTTTTCCATAGGGTGTTTGTTGTTTGCTCTCCAAATTTATGAATTGGGCATCCATTGCTATAAGATAATCAGAGGCCTTAGTTCATTTAGTAATAGAACCTCTAATGCTCTTAGAAATGTTTGTCTTAATGAGCATTAGACTCAGACGGTTCGAGCATTCCCAATTCTCTAAATAAACTTTATTAGTTGGCGTACTTAATTCCGTAATTTCATTTGGTTCGTTAACACGAAGTGCCAAATCCAAATCCATACACCCCAAATCAGAAATATTCTTTCTTTCCATTCAGTATAATTCTCCGTAGTCATTAATGGAAGATGGAATTCATTATCCAACATAACTACAAAATTGAATAATAAATGTCAAGATACATTAACGTAAAATTACTTTATACTGATATCAACCTATGTTTATAATCAATTACAGACTAAGATAAATTATAATTTACTTGTGAGCAAAACTCATAAAATTCTAGTATGCTAAAGATTAGACCTGGCAAAACAAGTCGATACCTGCAAATACCCGTTTTGAAAATGGGTATGGGTAGAGGTTTTACAACCCATTTACATTAAACCCATACTCGGCCCTACCCATTTTCAAAACGGTTGGGCTGGGTACACCCGCAGGTACTTGTATTTTGCAAAAAAAAAAAATAATAATAAAATTATTTTATTTAGAAAAAAAAAGTAAAATTACAAATAGTTATAGGGTTTCAAAAAAATAATAATCAAGAAATCAACTCTCTCATCTCACTCAAAGAGCCATCGCACAGCACAACTCACACCACCACACCCCGATATCGTCGTTGGACCACACACCAGATGCACACTGGACATAGCTGTGGCTCTCTCATCAGTCATCTCTGTCACTCCCTAGCCCCTACTCCAAGCGTCATTGCTTTGATCTCTCATCTCTGTTGCTCGACTCACTCCCAACTCCAAGCGCACGACACCCAGCAGCTAGCACACGACACCTAGTGACTAGCGTACAACCACCGCACGACTCCACCGACAACTTCCACTATCTACAATGCATCAACAGCCAACAGGTGTGTTTTTTAGTTTTTGGATTAAAGGAATGAATATTGAGAAGTTATGAAATGTTGAGATTTTTGTTTGTGGTTTGAAATATTGAGAAGTTGACTTGTTGTATTGGTTGGGAGAAATGTTGAAATGTTGAGATTGAGAAGTGTTGAAATGTTTTGTTCACCATTTTCACTGCCCTGCCCACCACGCACCACCTACTTGATAAATTGTTAATTTCCTAGACCTGGAATTGCAAATGAATTTATAACAAACTCAACAACCCACCCGGGAAGATATGTATGACACGCAATCTTTTATTTTTATTTTGTTTTAGTTTTATTTTAGTTTCTATCAAGTTACAATGAAAGAGTGCGTGCAAGTCATACATATCTTCTTCTTGTTTCTCTTTCAATTTTATGTTGTTTTGAACTCAAAACGTCAACTCAATGGTGTGCAGGTTTATATCTCATTGTTTCCTTTCTCATTTGACTTGTGTTGGAATCTTAAGCCTTAAATGTATATTTGAGATGTGGGGTTATTAACAGCTGAGGAAAATATTGTTAAGTAAAAAGAACATTTTAGAGTTTTATACCAAAGCGTTCAAGAATCCACTGAAGTAGCTGGTTTGCTGTGTGGCAAAAAAATTAACTGATTAATATCCATTTAAAAAAACATAAAATTAAATATGTGAATACTGCCCATGATAATTAATTAACAGGGGAAAATTATCAAAGTCACGAGAATGCTTGTCGCCTTTTTATTTTTGATAACAAATATTAATTACCCTTCGAAAAATATTTGTAATTGTGACTATAAATTTATGCTCTCATGTTTTGATGATATTCATTAATTTCAATTTGATGATATTCATTAATTTCTAACTCATCTTTGTTTAGGTAGTCTCAACTCTAGAGCATTGACATGGAGGAGTCTTAGTCTATAGATATGGTTAATGTGAGAGAAAGCAATGATACTTCTGAGGTAATGAAACCTCCTACCCATACTAGTAGTACTGCTCCTATTCCTAGAAGTAAATGTAAAACTTTAGATGTGTTGAATTACTTTGATGAGAATGGGAATGAGAGGGCAAGCTGTTTAAGTTGCAACAAATCCTATGCATATGGTAGTGCCTCTCATGTGACTAAAAATTTGAAGCGTCATATGGGAGATTATGTTAAACGTGTCAACAAGGATGTAGGGCAATTAATGATTGATATTGGGCGTAGATTGCAAAGTACCAAGATTTTTCAAGAGACTTATTGTGAAAAAATGGCATTATCAATTATTAAACATAATTTTCCATATTCATTTGTGGAGCATGATAGAATTAGGGACATCCATTTATATTTGAATAAGGAAGTAAGCCTTATACTAGGAACACCGCTAAGGCAAATTGCTTAAAAATATACAGAAGGGAGATGGAAAAAATTAAGCTTGAATTAGAGAGGATTTCTAGTAGAATATGCTTAACTTCTGATTTATGGAGTTATTGTACGATTGATGGTATGTTTCTTTAACAGCTTATTACATAGGTGTGAATTGGGTGTTACAAAGTAGGATTCTAAACTTTTGCCATATGCCTCCTCCAAACTCAAGGGTGCTTTTGGCAGAAACATTCTTTGGTTTCTTAAAAGAATGGGGAATTGAAAGGAAGATTTTCTCTCTTACTTTGGACAATGTGAGTAATAATGATAAGATGGAAGATATTTTAGAGAGGCAACTTTGTGTGCAAAATGCATTGTTATGTAATGGTGATTTCTTCCATGTGCGATGTTTTGCACATATCTTAAATCTTATTGTTCAAGAAGGGTTAAAAATTGCTAGTGTGGCTTTGCATAAGATTTGAGAAAGTGTGAAATATATTAAAGCAAGTGAGAGTAAAATAATCAAGTTTGGAGAACCTACTGTTCAAATTGGTGTGAAAAGCTCAATGGAATTGCGATCGGATGTTCTCACTAGATGGAATTCTACTTTTTTAATGCTTGAAACTGTGTTAATATATATAGCGATATGTGTTTGTACATTTGTCTTTAGTAGATCCCAATTATAAAGATTATCCATCAAATGAAGAATGGGATGGGGGGAGAGGATATGCAAATTCTTGCAACCATGTTATGAGATTACAACTCTTTTTTCGGGTTCCAAATACCCCACAACAAACTTGTACTTTAAAAATGTGTAGGAAATCCAATTGCTATTTAATGAAGGGATGGTGAGTGAGGATGAAGTTCTCAGTAGCATGGCAAATCAAATGATCTCAAAATTTACAAAATATTGGGATTCTTATAGTGTTGCATTAACTATTGCAACTTCTTGACCCGCGTTTAAAGATTCAGTTTGTGGAGTATGCTTACAAGAAAGTTTATGACTTACCTACTACCTAAAGAAAGATGGAGGTTGTTGAGAAGAACTTGTATAAACTTTTTAAATTTTGCAAGGCACAAAGTCCCAAAGAAGTTCTCGGCGCCACCTCTTCAGATACTTTTCTTGCAAGTGGTTCTCCTCTTATTATACGTTAAGATTATATTTGTGTAAGTCACTATTTTTTTTATATTTTTTTGATAATAAAGTATTGTTTATTGTGTAATTTTAATTTTTAATACTTAACTATTTAAATGGTGCAGGATTTTGACAGTTATGAGAGTGACTTTAGTGCTATTAGGAAGTCTGAATTGGATCTTTATTTGGAAGATCAATGTTTGATTGCATCAAACATCATAATATGGATATCCTCAAACATTGAAAAAGCAATTGCGATCGTTATCCAACACTTGTCGTGATGGCCTGTGACATCATGAGTATACCAATAACATATGTTGCTTTAGAGTCTGCTTTTAGTATTGGCAACAAAGTGCTCAATAAATACCCAAGCTCACTTAAACTAGATAATGGACAATCTTTGTTATGCACTCGGACTTGGCTATATGGATATGAATTTAAAGGTAACATGTTAACCAAATATTTCATATGTTTTATTATTTTCATTAACTAATATTTATAATTGTTAATTGTAGATGATGATGAGATGGATCATGAGTTTCATGTGCCATTAACTAATGTGAGGATTGTGGAATCAAGAGACTCCACTCACACTGCCATCGGTCCATCGTGTTCGTGAAATCAACATTCAACATGAGCTAGCCAAGAATATTTTTAGTTGAAACAATGCCAAGTTATATACTTATATTTATATTATGTTTTTGTATTTGGAATATTGTGTTTGTATTTGTGTTTGTGTTTTAGTGTTTATGACTTTATGTATTTGTTTTCTATATGCTTGTTGGTTTTAAATTGATGAGAAATTGATTTGGTTGTGAACTTTTTTGGTGAATTGAATTGAATATGAAGTATTTGATCTTGTGGGTGTAACTACAAAAAATGAAAATTGTATAAATTGTGGGGGTGTAACTGCAAAACTTGAAAATTGGAGAGAGAAAATATGGGTACTTATGGGTCGACCTGTACCTGTATAGGGTAGGGTACGGGTCCAATATTTTGGACCCGTATAAAACCAGTCTGTTTTGGCCCGTACGCGTACCTACCTGACCCACCCGTTTTGCCAGGTCTACTAAAGATAACACTAAAAAATTGACTAGACATACTTTATAGTTCAAGTTTAATGAATCTTGATCAATTATACTTTATAAATTCCCTGTGGGCAAAATCTATAGTGTATAATAATCATTATACTTAACAGTAAGACTAAATTATTACACAACAAAACAATGAAAATTTATTAAATAAAGAAAAAACTCCCACTATTTTATTGTTTCACATTTTATCTTATTCCAACACTGTTCATAAATAAATAATCCCTATAAGGATAATATTTATTTAAATGCACTAGTTGCAAATTTTAATACTGACAAACACATATATATAACATTGCAATTTTAAGTATTATCATGTTTTAATACTCGACCCGGTCAAAAGACTGGGTCCCAGTTAAATCAGCTAAACCGATCCGACTGTCGGTTAGATCGATGATGTCATCACACTAATTAAATGAGATTGAATATAATTTTGACGTCCGCAACACATTACACGATCCATTCCTCCTCTCTCTCACTCTTTTTCTCTTTCTCACTCTACCGCTTTTTCTCTCTAGATTATACACGAGCAAAGTTCCATTTTAATATCATTTCAGTTTCAAGCAAATCAAATTAAGGTTTATTGTTGTTGGTGTTATTCTTCTTCAACAAGATCTAGAGCTCATAAACTATGGCAAGAAACAATCTTGGCTGTTTATTTACATCAATATCACCCAAACTCCCCTCACCATTACCTATATCTGAATCATCAATTTGTTCAAAGGTTTTGAACTCGGTGAGCCGACTCATCAACTTATCAAGTCAACAGCCTCAACAACACCAAGAGAAAAGCCCCAACAAAGAAACAAGAGACCCTCAAAGAAAACTCTGAAAGTCAACACTTTTGGTAATTTTGATTGTTTAAAGTCTATAGCTTTGACCCTTTTGGTGTTTTTCTCATTTGCTTCAATACCTATTATTTTTTGCAACTCGTTTCTGCTTCTAAATCATTGATGGAAGAATGAAGAATGAAGATTGAAGATGAATTAGCTGCTGGATTGACAATATTATTATTAAGATGAACTTACAAGTGAGATGAAGATGAACTAATGAAGATAAAGTGAATAACTGATGATGAAACGAAACGCGATTCGCGAAGAGGGAAGATTGAAGAGCCGATTGAAAGTTGTAGTGATGATTGAAGAGCTGATCGAAAGTTGTAGTAAAGATTGAAGAGCTAAGGATGCTGAAGAGTTGAAGATCGACTAAATCTGTGAGAAATGAAAGTGAAATGGGTTTGGGAATTATTATAATGCATTGACCCGGTTTTGATGAACTGATGAAGATGAAGTGAAGAACTGATGATGAAATGAAATGCGATTCGCGAAGAGGGAAGATTGAAGAACCGATTGAAAGTTGTTGGGACGATTTAAGAGCTGATCGAAAGTTGCAGTAAAGATTGAAGAGCTAAGGATGTTGAAAAGTTGAAGATCGACAAAATCTATGAGAAATGAAAGTGAAATGGGTTTGGGAATTATTGTAGCATTGACCCGGTTTTGTGCCAAAATCAGGTGGACTGGTGGTTAGCTACAGTAACCCCGGTCCAACCGCAGGCCATACCGGGTCAAATGCATATACCGGGTTTTATCCTTACTCGGCCCGACTCAGTGGCCGATTCCCGATCGAACTGGTTAAATCAGTCGAGCCAGGCCGGGCTTTAAAACATTGAGTATTATAGTGAAAACGATGTCAAATTCCACATTTCTGTGGCAGGGAGGAAATTTACTCTCTTGGAGTGAAGTGGGAATGAACAGTAATAATGTTCATCCCTAACCTTTAAACATAACCATTTTTAAAAATATCATAATGTCTTAAAACAATAAATCATCATAACTTTGCAATCCCAACTTCGATTTTAGCAAATCATATAGCGTTAGAAAACTATTTCAAAAATATCATAATATGTCCAAGTTTGCACCCCGAGGTAAAAGTAGTCCTAAACAAGGACAACCCTTCAACTATTTGAGTACCTTCATTACCACATCTAATGGGATTGCTTTGGCCTGTGCATAAATTGACTGAGAATGTGTACAACATGGCTCATATCTGGTCGTGTTGTGATGAGATAGATAAGTCGACCCACAAGTATTTGATAATGTAAGGGATCCTTTAAAGGTAGATCTATCTCTGAATGTGACATCCCATTATCATATTCTTGAGTGGTGAGCTTAGAGTTTTGTTCAACAAGAATGACACTTGGTTTACATGCTGATAACCCAGAATCTTATATGAGCTTTAAAACATATTTTCGTTGACTAAAAGATATCCCTGTTAGAGATCTGGCAATTTCAATTCCCAAGAAATATTTTGGCTCTCCTAAATCTTTTATATGGAAATACCTGTTGATGTGCTCTTTTAAAGTTCTGATTGTTTTCTCATCATTTCCAGTGATAAGTATGTCAACGACATAAATAATGAGAGAAATGAAATATTTACCTTTACGCCAAGAAAAGAGCGCATAATCATGCTTGGATTAAACAAAATATATGCCTATAAGTGCTTTAGTGAATTTAGCATTCTACTCTCGAGACACTTGTTTTAAACCTTAAAGGGATTTTTGCAAACGACATACTGTGTTCTACCCATTGTGGCGAAGTCATAGAGAAAGGTCCATATAAATCTCTTCATGACGGTCACCATGAAGAAAGACAATGTGGATGTCCATTTGATGCAAGCACCAGTCTCTAACGGATGCAGCAGAAAGGAAAGCTCGAACAGTGACATGCTTGGCCATGGGAGAAAAGGTTTCTTGGTAATCAAAACCTTCATGTTGAGTAAAACCCTTAGCAACTAGTCCAGTTTTGTTGCATTCAATAAAACCATCAACACGGTGTTTGATTTTGTACACCTATTTACAGCCAATAGGTTTTTAGTGAGGAGGGCGAGGCACTAAGTCCTAGGTATGATTATGAGTGAGAGCATTAAGTTTATCGACCATGACTTGGCGCCGAGTGAAGTGTTGCACAACATCAGAGTAACATGAAGGTTTTTTGTCAATAGATATCTGACTAATACAAATCTTACAGGCAACAGAGAGGTGATCAAAACTCGTGTAATTTGAGGTTGGATAAGGAGTACTCGAGGAGGCTAAGATGGTTGGGCAAATATAATTAGTTGTCCAATTAAGTGGTCAAGTGACCCAAGAAGACTACTGTTGGGGAACCGGCTTTGGAGATAAAATAAGAGAGCTTGGAGGAGATACAGGTGATATGTCACCAGAAGCAGAAGATTCTGCTAAAGGTGATTCAAGATGAGGATCAGCAGTGATCAGAAGATCATAACTGTTGGTGGTGTACTAGTGTCAATAGCAGGGAGTATAATGAAATAAGGTGTTGGTGGAGATGTTGAGCAATCGTCATCCAGCAATGTTGGCAAAGGCTGAGAAAAGGAAATTGAGTGTTCACCAATTTCTTTAAATGGAAAGATGTTCTCATGAAATACAACATCTTGAGGAAAAAAAAAACTTCTTTGCAGTCAAATCATACAAACGATAACCTTTCTGGCACATAGGGTAACCCATGAAGATGCATTGAGTGGCTTGGGGACCAAATTTATCATGTGACCCAACAATAGTAGAGTAACAAAGGCAGCCAAAGACACGAAGATGGCTGATATCAGGTTGTTTCCCAAATAGCATGTCATAAGGAGTCTTGCCACTGAGCACTTGGGTTGGCATGCAATTGATCAAGTAAGTAGCTATGACCACACATTCACCCCAAAAACCTGTAGTGATATTGGCTTGTGTTCAAGGGTGTGGGCTACTTCTAATAGGTAACGATGTTTTCTTTCAACTACCTATTCTATTGAGGAGTATATGTACAAGAACTCTCATGTAGAATTCCAAGTAACAAATAAAGAGGAACAGTGTGAATTAAAGAAATCCTAAGCATTATCAGTTCGAACATGTTCAACTGATGTGTGAAATTGAGTCTTGACCATAGAGAGGAGATTGAGTATATGTACAGGAACTCTCATGGAGAATTCCAAGCGAAATTAATAAGGAGGAACAATGGGAATTAAAAATATCTCGAGCATTATCAGTTTGGACAGGTTGAATTGATGTGTGAAATTAAGTCATGACCATGGAAAGGAAATACCTTATATGGGTAAGTGTTTGGGCTTTGGATTACATGAGAAAGACCCATGTCCCACGAGAGTAATCAGTGACAGTGGTAAGGAAAAATCTAGACCTGTCAAGATGAATTAAGGCAAATGGATGTGTACTAACAGATGTGCTAGTTGAAAAAGTGGTATGGGATTGTTTTGCAAGGGGGCAAATTGGATGTTGAGGCTGAGGAGTAGAAGCGCTAAGGCCCAATCTCTAATGAAAAAGAAAGGAATTTTTACTAATATTTGTATTACAATGGGAGTTTTTATTAATATATGTAATACAAAAGGGTGATCTTTGAAAATCTTCATCAGTGTTGGTCTAATAGTACAGACCATGATGGACCTTACCCAAGCCCATCAGTTTCTCAGTTGAAAGGTCTTCAGATTCACACATAGTAGGAATGAATTTTAAAAGAAAATTGTTGTCTGTGCAAATTTTTGACACAAAAATAAGATTAAACGGGAAATCGAGGACAAAAAGGAAATTCCT